TGGCATGCCGTCCCGAGAGAGAGCCCTGAGCTCATAAGATCCTCGAGCCTAGGGTTCCCTCCCGTTTTCAAGGGAGTTTGAGCTCAGGTAGATCTCGAGAACTCCCCTGCAGTAGTAACTAATGAACAGATAGTAATTGCTCTTAAGAGATAACTACTTACTAGGAGCATATCTATGGTGCCGATTTGGATTAGTCAATTCCCTGCTGAAAAATCCAGCTTAATCCAGCCTAGGCTGGTTTAAGCTGGTTTTTTCAGCAGGGTTAACTTAAGTTGCATGTTTTTGGAACGAAACTGGAAAACCCGGGGGAAACCCACGTGAGCACGGGGAGAATATGCAAACTCCGGACAGAAACGTCTGCTGGTTTGGTAAAGCCTGGAACCAGAGACGTTCTTGCTGTCAGGTCACAGTGCTAAGCACTGGGCCTCCATGTCACTTATCTAGGAAGGAGGAGGAGTGGGGGTGGAAGGGGGGATTCTTCAAAATGAAGATAGCGGTGGTACGTAACCCAGGAAGGGTATTTGTAGTAGGTTAGAAGTCGTCTGATTGGTGCATGCGGATCCAGTCACTAGCAATCACAAACACGTGATCCTAATGACTACGTTGACTAAATTAAAATTAAAGAAAAACAAACAAACAAAAAAACAAACACATATTAGTATAAAAACGAAAACATTACAAAACAATACATTTTGCCAAACCCAGCTAAATACACCAGCCAAAACCAGCTATATCCAGTTTAAACCAGGCTGGTCAAGCTGGTTTTAGCTGGATTTGGCTGGTCGTTTTCCAGCCTGACCAGCTAAGACCAGGCTGGAAATGGCTGGAAACCAGCCTGGAAGTGGCCAAAACCCCGCTAAAACCAGCCTGGCCGACCAGCTAAAACCAGCCATCCAGCCTAGGCTGGTTTAAGCTGGATTTTTCAGCAGGGACGCTGGCTCATTGGTCAGCACTGTAGCCTCACAGCATGAAGGTTACTGGTTTGAGCCCAGACTGGGTGAGTTGGCATTTCTGTGTGGAGTTTGCATGTTTTCCTCGTGTTAGCCTGGGTTTCCTCCGGGTGCTCCGGTTTCCCCCACAAGTCCAAAAGTATGTGGTATAGGTGAATTGGATGAGCTAAATTTGTTGTAGTGTTTGTGTAAATGTGTGTATGGATGTTTCCCAGTGATGCGTTGCAGCTGGAAGGGCATCCGCTGCGTGAAACATATGCTGGATAAGTTGGCGGTTCATGTGATGACCCCTGATTAGTAAAGTGACTAAGCCGAAAATAAAATGAAGAACATAGAAATGTGCATGAAGAGTGTAATCAAATATAATTAATAAATGGTTTAATAAAATTAAATAATAACAAACATTTTCTCAAGCTAAATAACACACACACTAGCATAAAAATAAATAAATAACAATACAAATATATGAGCAATATCACACGAGTAGCAGTGCGATATGGCTGTATATGCCGATATACAGCCATATCGCACTGCTATGAGTGTGATATTGCGTTTATACAACAGTTTGACGACATAATTGTGTATATAAAAAGTAAATCAAGCATGGAGAGTCTCAAAAACCCTTTTGTATGAGGAACTACTTTCTTCTGCCTTGGATTTAAATCATAAGCTGACAGTTAAACAGCTGTTAAAACAGTTAAAAGCATCTTTTAAACTTTAGATCAGTGGTTCTCAAACGTTTTTTATCAAGTACCACCTCAGAAAAAAGGGGTCTTTGCAGGTACCACCATAATGAGCAGTTTTGAAATACAGTGGCGTATTAGGTCTAGTAAAACAGCTTAAGCTCTGTACAGTTCAAAAACTAGGCATATTAGTTCCTATTATTAAGTACATTTAAATTAAAATGTGCTTTTAAAAGTTAAAAATGGTAGGTTACCGTTTTTAAAAAGTAAAAAAAAAAAAAAAACTCTTGGTTTATTAGCACCTGGAAATGTTGCCTGCACCGCATAAATATAGGCTTTATGTCATCATATTCATATATAAATAATTTTTGATGATTTATTTAAATATATGTAGC